GACTCTTTATTAAAAGTTTATGTGTAGGAACACTCACATAGATAGGTTATGTATGGGCATAAAAACCGTGGTGAGAAGGTAGGGTGGTCTTCAGGGTGAGAAGCCGTCATCTGCTGCGGTGTGGATCGGTCAGCTTGTCACTGGAGCAGCGTGGTAGCTGGAGGAGAACAGCGGTGAGGCCGGCTGGCGTGCACGTCCTCCCTCTGAGCTTTGTGGAACACACACTTGAAAAAGGAGTGCACTTCCGCCTTCCACGGCCAGTGCATACTCCGAAACGAGTCACAGTGCATCCTGGGTGTCTGACGTCATCATGGCCACGCCGCCGCAGCCCCCCAGCGAGCAAAAGGTCTTGGGAGGATCGAAGAGAGCGGTTTGGTTGATATTTTGAGACCAGGTTAGTGATATAACTGGGGGGGGCAGAATTGTGGTTGGCTTTGTAAGAATACTTTTCATGTTACATTTGATGATCAAACAAGTTCATGCTGGCTGCTCTAGGGTGGTTTATCTAAGCGCAGTGAACACTTTTGTAGTTTTTTATATAATATATTCGCTTTACTACCTATACTTTACCATGCTTCCTATTGAGATCTGCCTACTAGATAGAGCTGTCTAAGCCCTGGAACACACTGCTGAGACTTCTCATAAGACTTGCTGTGAGGTGCGACACAGAAATTTGCATGTCAAGTCAAAACACATTCATTTCAATGGGTGCCATTTTAATTGGTGAAACTCAAGTTGCAGCAGCAAAAAAATAGTTCCTGCACTAATTTTCTTCCTTGTAACATGAGTGCTATAGACTGCAATGGTAAAATCCCAAAAGTCGTAAGCTATGTTTTCTTGTCTTTGTGATCGGCTTTTTGAGGGTTTTGTAAGTTCAGAAATATGGAGTTGATTTACTAAAAATTCTTCAAAATCTGGTGCACCATCAATCATCCCAATTGTTTTTTTTGTGCTTCTTATTGAAACTCTGATCTGGGCTCCTGCCACTTCAGAACTCTCCACGCAAACCAATCATTGTCCTGCCAATTGGATCTTTTTTTTGTCCTAAGACCCAAAATCCTTTGGTAATCCTCAGATTTCATGATGCCTTGCACACTTAATAGGCAGCAAAAACAACCCCAAAACAACAAGCTGATAGTACTTTTTGTTCTTTGATCATGGCCTCCCATGAATGATGTGCTTTACCGAAAAGCTCTATCAGTCTCATCTTTCACACAAGACGTTTTCCCAAGGCTTTTGGCTTACTCAGTCTTGCTTTTTTATGTCTCTTCTCAGTGACTCCTCCTGGGTTTTGCCATAGCGTTTCATTTCATTTAAATCTCCTGATGCTCCCTGAGAAAAAACTGTTTGGGGCTGCTTATCCCAGGTCTATAACGTTGGCAATTTTCATAAACAGACCAGGGAGATTAGCTACATGGTTGGGGCTGTCACTAGGCAAATCTAGTTCTCTGGAGATGGAGAGATTGTTGATTTCCAAATTTTGGTTCTCAGGTCCTCAGACAGTTCTCGTCTCCTCTTCCAGTGTCAAGTGTGGCCACAGACACACAACCCCAATCTCTCTCCTTTTTATCTGCTTTAGGTCGGTGATTTTTATTGGCAAGGAACAAGGAGTTTATGTAACATTTATCAACAAAGGGGGATAGGTTTGTGTGACAAAAGTCCGGCTTTCAAACTGTCATGCCAGTTAGCCAACTATCAAAAACCAAATTAACCCAGTCTGGAAACATGCGTTTATCAAAAACCAAAAACATGCGTTTAAAAGGGGTTTAGTTAGCACACATTTGCAAATACATACGTAAGCCACAGAGCCGCGTCATGGCACCCTGAGTATCTGTGGTCCTAGCTCTACAAGTCTAAAGAGTCCTCACAGTGGAGGCACATGCATTTAAATGGATAGAAACAAGGGCAGATAAACATGAAGGGGAGCCCCACCCTTCATTAAAAAGGTTATGGGAGCGCACCTGACACCCAGCATATTGCACAACGGCAGCTAGGGAGTCCAGTGCACCCACTGAACCTACAAAGCATACAAAGAAAAAACTGATCACCTGCCCAGGTCTAAGAAACTGGCTTTTTAAACAGTGAACATGGGGGGGCTGTCACTACAAATGAGAAAATTTCCAAAAAAGTAGAACTATCCAGTTCAACTTGCCAGCCTACCCCAATCTAATATGGAGTTGATTTACTAAAACTTCAGAGTGCAAAATCTGGTGCAACTCTCCAAAGAAACCAATCAGCTCCCAATTGTTTTTTTGTCAAAGCTTAATTGAACAAGCTGAAGTTAGAAGCTGATTGGCTCCCATGCACAGCTGCACCAGATTCTGAGTGCTCCAGTTTTAGTAAATCTCCCTCTGTGTCACACTTTGTATTGTTTTGATTGGCCAAAGCCAAAAGAACCAGGAAGTTACCTGAAGAAATGGAAAAAAAAAAAGTTTAAAACAAGTAAATAAAACCTTTCTATTTATTTACCAAGGATAGAATCAAAGGATTACAAGTAGTTAATATTGATTGAAAGATATTAGTTCCACTTTAAGGCCTCCTGCATGTGGGGACCTCAAGGTGCAGTGTGTCCCTTCCAGTGTTTTAGTGCACATGGGGGGGCCAGGTGCAGCATCCAGCACTGCTGTCTACAGGCTGTCAGAATCTATGGCAGGCTGTGGATGGATGGGGCTGAACGTTGCGTTTAGGGTCCGAGGCATTTACGGACAAAGGAGATCTGAGTTGAGGTCTTTCATCCCTAAACATACGGGGCCCTAAATGTGTCCCTCCAGAGTGCACTAAAATGCCCAGAGGGACGTACTGCACCTAGACAACACCATGTGCATGTGGCCAAAGCTGAACCACAGTGTAGCACCCTCCTAGTTAGCTAGGGGGAGCTAGTTGATTTTTCTTTTTTAGAAAGAGAGGCTGAGCAGCAGCCTGGGGAATAGTCAGCAGGGTCAAATTTAGTTCAGGGCTGAGAGGCTCTGTAGATCAGTTCCTTGATACCTCCCCCTGCTCTAGAATTTTGGAGAAGATTCAAGAAGCAGTGAGTGGGGGTGAGGAGGGGCTGGTCTGCATACTCAGGGGACTCTGGCCAATCCCCAAACAGGAGGCTCGGCATGGGACCAGAGCAGCCATTACATATGACTGTGCCTGGTCAGCAGCAGGAGAATTCAGGTGGAAGATGTGAGGAAGGCTGAGATGCAGGAGTCTGGGAGGGGGCCCAGTAGGAAGGGGCCTAGCTACAAACTGGGGCTTGGACAGGAGGATCGCTCAGCCTCACTGGTCCCCAGAGTGAGGACCACCTGTGGAGCCAGGAAAGGAGCCAGCTCAGTAGAAGGCCTGAAGGCAGCCACCTACCTACACCAGCTTGCAGGAAAGAGACTGAGTGAGTAGTCCTACGCCCCCTGTGCCAGCAAAGGGGAGAAGAGAACCCTGGTGGGAAACCCGATCAGCTCCTTACCGGGACTGTTCATCTTAAAGTGGCAGGCACTGGATCCCCTTGCTCAGGGATTCCTCCAGACAGCTGGGTAAATACAAGGATTTATCTGGGGTCTGGGGTGGTACAGCAGGAGTGGCTGGAGAGCTCTCCAAGAAGCGAACCCCTTCTATGGACTTGTACATATTTGCTAACGGGTTTGCAGTCCCCTTGGGCATCCCATACACCCCTTACCCCATCCAAGTTTATCATCCCCTAATACAAATTTAAAAAAAAAACAAGCCCGTTGACTGTTTTACTGTCTCTGGAATGCAAGTCTGTGGAAAATGCATGTCCCAGGCTGTGCAGGACTATAGGGGGACTCAAATCTCTAGAGACTTCTAAGGGGGTAGTGCTACACCAGGTACTGTATGATCTGTATTGCATACTTACATTGATCCAGCTTGGCACAATGTAAGTATGTATATCTCATACCTGAGGGACCACTATGGAAGCTGATAATCACTGTAGTGGGTGGCTCTACTTCTGTAATAGCTGCAGTCTACCAAGTACTGTGCCGAGTGACCCACTGCAAACTGACCATAGGAAGCCACTCTTTGATTGGATAAGGTGGAGATTGTGATGTCAATGGCCCTCCTGTCCACCTCATCCAATCAGAGAATGGCTTGTATTCATTGGAAAAAAATACAAGGCGTTCTATGAATGGTGGCAGTACGCAACCCCCTGTAGTCAGTGTGCAGAGCAGAAGGACCTGGAAGACCAATACACTTTGGTGAGCAGTACTGTCAGAATCCACTGGGTTTTTAATTTTGGCAAGTCGGCAGGCAGTTGGTTTCGCAATTGATGAGGGATTTACAATGAGGGCCATTTTTTGGGATTGTTTGGGTGTCTTTATTTCTAGGTTACATTTTTTTTCTTTTGTGAATGAGTAGGGCTATGTACTCCTTACTCATTCATATAGGGGGGACGGTATCTGGTGGCCCCATAATTAAATAGTGAGCGAAGACCTTTAAGGGGGACCTCATGCATTTTCTTTTTGCATGAGAATCCCCTTAAAATCCATACCAGACCCCTTGGGTCCAATATAATCTTCCTGGGCGACCTCACACTTTCTTTTCTGTTTTTATTTGTGTGGGTACCCTCTTAAATCATATACCAGATTTAAAGGGTCTGATTTGCATTTTGGGGGGAACTCTATGCAAATTTTTTTTTCATTATTTCTGTAGGATGTGTTATAGTAAAGTGACTTTTAAAAAGAAAAAAAAAAAGATACGGTTTAAATTGCTGGAAAATGGCTTTTCATTGCTGGCAAATGACATTTGATTGCCGGCTTCTTCTTTTTTTTTAACACACAGACCTCTCCAAAGCTCCTTCAGGCTTTTGCCTATTAGCCCAAAAAAATGGCATTTTTGATTTCACAGGTTTGGTTCTCACTGATTTCATTGGGGTTTGGGATCGGCATCTGAACTTATTTAACTGCTTGCCCGCCGCCCTATAGAAGAAATACTGCTACAGGGCAGCAGGGCTGCACAAAATCACTTATATATACATGATTTGCAATTTCGGGTAGGGGGCGCACGCTTCCCCGCCGGCACTGGGTGATCGTCATGCAAAGCTGACGGGAGAGACCTGTGTGTAAACAACTCAGGTCTCTTTCCTGCCAGGAAGGACATGCTGCTTTTTCTCTGCACAGCAGAGGAATACAAAACAGCATGTCTCCGAGGTAAAAGCAGCACGCAGCAAACATAATAAAACACACACCGCACACAGTTAACCCTTTGATCGCCCAAACGTTAACCCCTTCCTGCCCAGTGTCAATGCATCCAGAATGCATCTGGTCTGTGTTTCTATAGTGTGAACTGGCCCTTAAAGCTTATCTATGGTCATAATGTAAAAATCAAATATTCATTTCCACGTTGCATTTCAATTATTTCCAGCCTCCTCCCATTAATCTGAATGATCTTGAAGTTTGTAAACTTCCTCTATAACGATCACCACATAATTACTACTGTGAATTCTGCGACACGTTCTCACTATGGTTAGGCACGGCTGTGTCACACATTTCACAGAGTCTGCCTTCTGACCTACAGAGAGAAGGAGTTTCAGGAGGTGGAGTCAGTACAGAAATCACTGATTGGAGGCAGCAAGGTACCATGGGATATGTAGTCCTTAGAAATAGTAAAGAGTTGCAAAGCATGCTGGGAATCCATGAAGTTATGGAAAGAGGTGGCCAGCAGACAGACAGAAAGTAGATTTTTGAAGTAAGTTTATATTGGATTGTAAACATGAAACTATTGTTAGTATTGCTATGATGTTATAAAATAAAAATGTATGCTGTGACCATAGAACTCCTTTAAGAAAAAGATTTTTTAAATAACATCATCATTTTTTATAAGAAATTCATATTATAGGAAATAGCATCGTGGCTAAGTGGTTAGCACGTCTGCCTAGCAGCACTAGAGTCACCGGTAGACATGTGCAAAACCAAAAAAATTGTTTGGTTTCGAAATCTAACAAATTTCGTGTAGTTGGATTCGGTAAATTCGTTTTCGGGTTTCGTTTCGGTAATTCGGATTCAAATTCAATTTGAAAGCATTTCGACCAAATTCGAAAAAGTCGTTCGTATTTGAAATTGGTTCAACCGAATTCGAAATTGATTCAGCAAAATTCGCAAAGTCGTTTGTAATTGAAAAGATTTCAACCGAAATAAAAAAAAATTAGAAAAATAACAGGGAGTCCTTCAAGCGGAACTTCCCCTTTTGGGTGGAGCTTTAAATTTGTTCTCGAATCTTTGTTCGATTTTGTTTTTGCATTTGTTTGTGATTTTGTTTTGGAATTCAAATTTGTTTTCGATCTTGTTTTCGAATTTGTTTTCAAATCGAATTTTGGACGGATTTAATTTCGTTATTTCGGATTCATTTAAATTTGTTATTTTTGTAATTCATTATTTGGATATATCCAAATCTCCAAATAACGAAAACATTTGTCAGAAATGCGATTAGGAATGAAACGAACCGCACATGTCTAGTCATCGGTTCAAATCCCAACCATGGCACTACCTGCCTGAAGTCTACATGTTCTCACCGTGCCTGCGTGGGTTTCCTCCAGTTTCCAAAGACATGCTGGTAGGGTAACTGGCTCCTGTCTAATTTGGCCCTAGTATGTGTATGTATGAATATGAGTTGGGGACCAGGGGCAGACTGACAACTCATGGGGCCCCCGGGCAATAGGGGATCATGGGGCCCCTGTGTCCTTGCCCAAACAAAAAAAAGCCTATGAAAAAAGGTACCAGGGGCATCTCATGGGGCCCCCTACTGGCCCCGGGCCCTCGGGCAGTGCCCGAGTTTCCAAATGGTCAGTCCTCCCCTGTTAGGGACCTTAGACTGTAAGCTCGTTGGGGGCAGGGACTGATGTGAATGTACAATATGTGTAAATTGCCATAAATAAATTCTAATTATTTTAGGAAATTATATATTATCATTTTTATAGGGAATTAATATTATAGGAAATTATATAGCATATATGAAGCTTCTAAGAGATTTCAGGTTTCCATCTCCTTTAATTTCCCAACACTTTTGTCGGACTTGTTTTTTCCATAAATGAATGTCTTTCACATCCACCTTGTGTGCCAATTCTAGTACAGTGCCCTATTTTATTATCTTTAAGACGTTTTAAGAACCCCCGTTGCATGGCCAACATTCTAATCCAATTTGCTGTGATAGTTATTTGGAATCCCTCAGAGGCCCGCCGTTCGCTCATTCTCCCACAGTACTGAGGTTTCCCTTAGCCCAGCTGGCAGAAGCTTTTAGGAGAAGAAAAAAAAAATGCACCAACTCAGGGGGAAGGATCCAAGCCTTGAATGGGGCCCATTGTCCGCGGCTCTATGAGGCCAGATTAATTATGCATTGCAGAGCACAGTTTTAAAGATCTGTATTAGGCTCTCATTGTGAGGAAGGGACAGAATTCCCATTTCCATCACTGGGACAGTTGTATAATGACTCAAAGAATTCAGAATTAAAGAAAACGCAATTAAACAGTATTTTGCAGCAAGAGCGGCGCAGCGGCTATCTCTGGCATTCATAGAATGATTCTCTGGCTTTTTTTTTTTTTCTCTCCATAGGTGGTTGTTCTTTGAACATTTAGACTTCTGTCTCTGTAACCAAGCTACGTTTCCCCATTCCCCTCAGCTAAATGGGAAACTTCATTTTACGCTTTGAAGCGCTAATAACCGTTACAAAAACCATCGCCTGTTAATCCTCTTTTTTTGATGCATCAATATTTTTTTTACATTTGTTGCTATTTTTATTTGATTTTTTTATGTTTGTTGCTACTTGTATTTTTTTTTCATCCGTTCCTGTTTGTATTCGTTTTTAATCCGTTGCTATTTCTATTTTTTGTTTATTTGCATCCAGTGCTATTTGTAATTTTGTTTTCTTTTGCGTCCATTGCTATTTGTATTTTTATTTTCACCTGTTTCTATTGGTTTTTTCTTTTTTTTGCATCTGTTGTTTTGTTTTTTTTATCCATTGCTATTTGTATTTTCTTTTACGTCTGTTGATATTTATATATTTTTTTATTTGTATTCAATGCTATTGTATTTTTTTTTTTTTTTTGAGTCCGTTGCTATTTGTATTTTTTTTTTTATTTACTTTGAGTGCTATTTGTAATTTTTTTTTGTGTCCTTTGCTATTTGTATTTTTTTTTGCAAGGAAAGTTTGTCTCTATACATCATCTCCTTGGGATTATACGTGAGCATTGCCTGCTTTCCTTTTATCAGGGACGGGATTTTTTTCTAAGTTAAAATAAATATATTTTTATACCTTGGTATGTGAAAAGGTGTCAACAAAATTGAATGTTTGAAATTTCTTTTCATACTTGTAGATGATTTGTTTGTAGATAAAGCGGCACATTTATCAAAGTTATAATCTATGATTTTTCCCACATTCTCTCTTTTTTCTTTTATTTTTAACACAGATTCACCTTTCAGTTTTCACCTACAACATATTTGCTGTGCAGGTTTAAAGAAGATCTAATCCAAGCACTAAAATCTTATATATGATTTAAAGAGTCCCTGTCACAAATGTAAAAAGCTGCATTTAAGCGCATCAAGAGGTTTAGATATAAAACATTCACAGTGCAAATGTCTTAAGGTGGCTGTAAACCTCTGAAATGAAAAATGAACAAGTTATATCCATCTATAGTGTGTACTTGCCTCTATCCAAAGCACAGTGTGATTTCTGTCTCCTCTCTCCTTCCTCTGCTATCTGCATGAGTCACTTCTGACAGTCAATGCTGACACCAGACAGTCCTGGGAGACAGCCCCACCCCCTCCAGCACACAGCACGTGATTGACAGCCTCAGCTATGCATGTTCCCCTATAAGGAGGAGGAGGAACATTCAATTCTTCCTCCCTGTCACAGTCATGGTTCAGGGTCAGGGACCAGAAGCTAGAGTAGTAAAGTGGCAGTAGTAAGTAGTAAAGTATGCAAGCAGGTCACCCTGGCAGATGATGCTGGCTTACCAGAGGTGCGGGGTCTAAAAAACAATATTTTTGACTTTTTGCTATAAAACATATATAGTAAAAAAAAATTAAAAAATCAAATTGCATCATAAATTTAGGCCAAAGTTTATTCTGCGACATGTCTTTGCTTAAAAAAAAAAATCACAATACGTGTAAATTAAATGGTTTACGTAAAATTTATAGCGTTTACAAATGGTGTTATAGATACTGGGATTTTTTTTTTTATACTAGTAATGGCGGTGATCAGTGACTTATTGTGGGATTGCAGGACTGCAGCGGGCATTCTGACACTGGGGGGGAACTGACTAACTGCCACTGACATCCCCAGTGACACCAATACAGTGATCAGTGAGAATAAAAAGTACTGACACTGTACTAACGACACTGGGCAGGAAGGGGTTAACATCTGGGGCGCACAAAGGGTTAACTGTGTGCTGTTTTACTGTGTGGACAAGCTGCTTTGTATTGCTCTGTTGTGCAGAGCAATACAATCAGCCTGTGTGTGCTGACGGGAGAGGACTGTGTTTACATACAGACCTCTCCTCTGTCAGCTACGCCGACGATCACCGAGTCCCAACCGAGAATCGGCGGCCGGAACCCTGTGATTGACATGCCGAGACGACCATAGCGGGGCGGGTAGCAGGCAACCCTACCTGGCAATGCAAAATCACACATATATATATATATATACTGTATCAGGGGTGGACTGACAACTAATGGAGCCCCCGGGCAATAGGGGATCAAGGGGCCCCTGTGTCCTCGCCCACACTCAAACCACACCCAAAAAAGCCTATGTATTGTGCAGAGTGGCCCCGATTCTACTCTTCTCAGTGCGCCCCCATAGGAAGCTGCTTCCTATGGTGACACACCTGCGGGCCCACTCTTGAGCTGGGCTACGTGTGTCTATTTTCATAAATCTCTATGTACAGGATAAAATGTTAGCTAAAATCTACCGGACTAGTGAAGAGCGAATCTGCCTGCTGAGGGCCCGGGGAATCCAGGTTGAAGTTCAGTGAACCCAAACTAGCACATTATAACGTACCTGTAAAACAGATCCCTCCAGCGGCGTGCTGTCACTGCTGTCAGGACTTCCATTTTCACCTGGCCTTCTTTCCAGGTTCACAGGCTCTGGCCATTTGAATTGCTGAGTTGCGATGATGTCACTCTCACGTATGCAGTGTGCATGCATCGGTGCCATCAAAGGCTGTAAAATATGTAAATATCTCCTAAACGGTGCACGTTTAGGCCTTACCCTCCCGTCACAAGTCAGCATTTCTGGAGTATCTCATACCACCCAACCCCTCTCCTGTTATATGTTCTACAAGCAATAAAGCATACAAAAGACAGTCTCCTTGTCTGTGTAATGGAGCCAGAGTGAATGGACTGTTGCCTGTGTGAATAGTGGCCTCTGCACTGTTTGGGAAAGAGCCAGCTAAATCAGTGAAACCTATGAGGATAGAGCTACACTTAGCTCCAACAGGCCCGCACTTGTAAGGTTCCTTGCCGATACCAGATCCTTCTCTCCAGCTTCTTACCGAAGCCAGCTCCTTCTCTCCAGCTTCTTACTGATGCCAGCACCTTCTCTCCAGCTTCTTGCCGATACCAGCTCCTTCTCTCCAGCTTCTTGCCAATACCAGCACCTTCTCTCCAGCTTCTTACCGATGCCAGCTCCTTCTCTCCAGCTTCTTGCCGATGCCAGCACCTTCTCTCCAGTTTCTTACCGATGCCAGCTCCTTCTCTCCAGCTTCTTGCCAATGCCAGCTCCTTCTCTCCAGCTTCTTACCGAAGCCAGCTCCTTCTCTCCAGCTTCTTACCGAAGCCAGCTCCTTCTCTCCAGCTTCTTGCCAATGCCAGCTCCTTCTCTCCAGCTTCTTACCGAAGCCAGCTCCTTCTCTCCAGCTTCTTACCGATGCCAGCTCCTTCTCTCCAGCTTCTTACCGATGCCAGCTCCTTCTCTCCAGCTTCTTGCCAATGCCAGCTCCTTCTCTCCAGCTTCTTACCGAAGCCAGCTCCTTCTCTCCAGCTTCTTGCCGATGCCAGCTCCTTCTCTCCAGCTTCTTGCCGATGCCAGCTCCTTCTCTCCAGCTTCTTACCGAAGCCAGCTCCTTCTCTCCAGCTTCTTGCCGATGCCAGCACCTTCTCTCCAGCTTCTTACCGATGCCAGCACCTTCTCTCCAGCTTCTTGCCGATGCCAGCTCCTTCTCTCCAGCTTCTTACCGATGCCAGCACCTTCTCTCCAGCTTCTTGCCGATGCCAGCTCCTTCTCTCCAGCTTCTTGCCGATGCCAGCTCCTTCTCTCCAGCTTCTTACCGAAGCCAGCTCCTTCTCTCCAGCTTCTTGCTGATGCCAGCTCCTTCTCTCCAGCTTCTTGCCGATGCCAGCTCCTTCTCTCCAGCTTCTTACCGAAGCCAGCTCCTTCTCTCCAGCTTCTTGCTGATGCCAGCTCCTTCTCTCCAGCTTCTTGCTGATGCCAGCACCTTCTCTCCAGCTTCTTGCCGACGCCAGCACCTTCTCTCCAGCTTCTTGCCGATGCCAGCTCCTTCTCTCCAGCTTCTTACCGATGCCAGCACCTTCTCTCCAGCTTCTTGCTGATGCCAGCTCCTTCTCTCCAGCTTCTTGCCGACGCCAGCACCTTCTCTCCAGCTTCTTCCACATGTCGGTCTTCAGCCATTTTTACTGGCCAATGCAGGATGACCTAACTCCCGCAGGTGACCAGGAGTTCAGTCCAACCTTGCTGGAATTCAAACTGAATTGCCCATGGGCAGCTCAGTCTACATTTTAGAGAAGACTAAGAACAGACAGATCTATTTATTTTATTTCAGAAGAGATGTTGCATGTCTCTTCTGCAATAAATAGCCCATCTGCTGAAAGTCTTTTAAAGTTCCACTTTAAACCCAATAAAGTTCTATGACTAAAACGTTTTCCCATTCACATGTCAGGTATTATCTTTCTTTGATGTTTATATTGTGTATTTTGGGTAGGGTGATAGTGATCATGTACAATCCCGTGTGTTTTGTGTGGGTGCATATTTGTGTATACCCCTACACTCTAAATCCTTTCTGGACAATTCTCTTTCTTGTTGCATTGGTTTTTATCTTGTATAATCAAACTCGTAGTAGGAAAATAATGGGTTCCGAAAGGAACTTCTAATGGGGGGTTTAAACCTAAACTTCTATGGTATGATTCCTTTGGAGCTTTTAATCTCATGCTTCACTTCAGTGGGTTCCATTATCAATGGCACTGCAGGACTACAAGTTTCATTAAAATGCCATATTCAGCATTTAAGCATTTAGAAACTAAAGGGAAATGCAAAGCACTTAGATCCCATCCAACAATGCCTAGATTGGATAGGAAAGCTATTTAGGACAACTAAGAAGAGACAGAGCGGTGGATTTTCATAATGTGTCACCAATAGGCCCTTGAATGCTGGTCTTCCTAAACCCTCCATTCTTTGCAGTGGTTACATGTATCTTTATGGAAAAATGGTGTAATTAAAGCGGACATCTAGTCAAACTTTAAAAAAAAGTTAGCAGGTACAAAAAACTGTAGCTGCTGACTTTTAAAAAGCAGCCACTTACCTGTCCCTCAATCCCACAGTGTCCTCACCGTAGGCCGTTTCACCACCCATCCTGTGTTCCCGGCGCTGGCATCTTCAGTGTGGGCATCCGGCTGTAACAGCTTGTGACTTCACAGCTGGGTGACCACTGCGCATGCGGGAGTAGCGCTGCGCTTTCGCAATGGTCCTGTAGTCTTCTGGGACCTGTCATGTTTCCCAGAAGACTACGGGGAGGGAGGGGGGGGGATCAACTTCCACTGCCGATCGCCTAGGCGATTGCAGCAAAAGTGGGAGCAGGTACCTGTCAATTTCAGGTACTGGCTCCGCAAAGGTGCCAATCCTTAACGGGGAGAGGGGCACCAGTTCTTAAAGCGTAACTTCCCGTTTTGGTGGAGCTCTGCCTTAAGATGATTTCTGGTTTTTTTTTCTTATAGGCAAGGTTATGTTGGTCATTAACGATGAACAAATATGTTTGCTGAATAGAAAAACGGAACCATAGAAGCGTGACAACAGAAAAAAGACCAAGTATTCCTTCATGTCTGCCCCAGTTTTTTTTTCTTTTTTTTTTTTTTTTTTTTTACTGAGTTGAGATCTGTTCTTGTCCTACTCAATTGAACTTTTCTCCTTCTAGTTTGAGGTCATGTCTCCATGTTCTTGATCATTATTCTGAAAATACTACTCATCAACCTTATTCACTACCCAGTTTTTTTTTTCTTTTTTAGATTTGCGCCGATTATTGATTATACACTGCTGAAAAACATTTAAGGAACACTTTTTAATCAGAGTATAGCATCAAGTCAATTAAACTCCTGGGATATTGATCTGGTCAGTTACAGTGCCTTGAAAAAGTATTCATACCCCTTGAAATTTTCCACATTTTGTCATGTTGCAACCAAAAATGCAAATGTATTTTATTGGGATTTTATGTAATAGACCAACATGAAGTGGCACATAATTGCGCAGTGGAAGGAAAATGATAAATGGTTTTCAACATTTTTTTCTAATAAATATCTGAAAAGTGTGGCATGCATTTGTATTCAGCCCCCCTGAGTCAATACTTTGTAGAACCACCTTTCACTGCAATTACAGCTGCAAGTCTTTTGGGTATATCTGCCAGCTTTACACATCTAGAGAGTGAAAGTTTTGTTCATTCTTTTTTCCAAAATAGCTCAAGCTCTGTCAGATTGGATGGAGAGCATCTCTGAACAGCAATTTTCAAGTCTTGCCACAGATTCTCAATTGGATTTAGGTCTGGACTGTGACTGGGCCATTCTAACACATGAATATGCTTTGAACTAAACCATTCCGTTGTAGCTGTGGCTGTATGTTGTGGGTCGTTGTCCTGCTGGAAGGTGAACCTCCGCCCCAGTCTCAAGTCTTTTGCAGACTCTAACAGGTTTTCTTCTAAAATTGCCTTGTATTTGGCTCCATCCATCTTCCCATCAACTCTGACCAGCTTCCCTGTCCCTGCTGAAGAAAAGCATCCCCACAACATGATGCTGCCACCACCATGTTTCACAGTGGGGATGGTGTGTTCAGGGTGATGTGCAGTGTTAGTTTTCTGCCACACATAGCGTTTTGCTTTTAGGCCAAAAAGTTTAACTTTGGTCTCATCTGACCAGAGCACCTTCTTCCACATGTTTGCTGTGTCCCCCACAAGGCTTCTCGCAAATTGTAAACGGGACTTCTTACGATTTTCTTTCAATAATGGCTTTCTTCTTGCCACTCTTCCATAAAGGCCAGATTTGTGGAGTGCACGACTAATAGTTGTCCTGTGGACAGACTCTTCCACCTGAGCTGTGGATCTCTGCAGCTCCTCCAGGGTTACCATGGGCCTCTTGGCTGCATCTCTGATTAATGCTCTCCTTGCCTGGCCTGTCAGTTTAGTTGGATGGCCATATCTTGGTAGGTTTGCAGTTGTGCCATACTCTTTCCATTTTCAGATGGTGGATTGAACAGTGCTCCGTGAGATGTTCAAAGCTTGGGATTTTTTTTTTTTATAACTTATACCCTGCTGTACACTTCTCCCCAACTTCATCCCTGACCTGCCTGGTGTGTTTCTTTGGCTTCCTGATGCTGTTTGTTCACTAATGTTATCTAACACACCTCTGAGGGCTTCACAGAACAGATGTATTTATAGATTAAATTAAATTAAATTGCACTTAGGTGGACTCTATTTACTAATTAGGTGACTTCTTAAGGCAATTGGTTCCACTAAATTTTAGTTATGGGTATCAGAGTAAAGGGGGCTGAATACAAATGCACACTATACTTTTCAGATATTTATTTGTAAAGAAATATGAAAACCATTTATCATTTTCCCTTCACTTCGCAATGATGTGCCACTTTGTGTTGGTTTATCACATAAAATCCCAATACAATACATTTACGTTTTTGGTTGTAACATGACAAAATGTGGAAAATTTCAAGGCATTAATACTTTTTCAAGGCACTGGAAGTAGCAGAGGGGGTTGTTAAGCAGTTTCAGCTGCTTTGGTGTTAATGTTAATGAAATTAACAACAGGTGCACTAGATGGGCAACAATGAGATGACCCCCCAAAACAGGAATGGTTTTACAGGTGGAGGCTATTGACATTTTTTCCCTACTCATCCTTTCTGACTGGTTTTCACTAGTTTAGCATTTGGCTAGGGTCAGTGTCACTACTGGTAGCATGAGGCGATACCGGGCTCTGTGTTCACTGCCCGGCACCATAGAGCTTGATTGGCATGTGCCATTGAACACCAGAATTGTCAGGTCCTCCACTGGTGCCCTGTGTTTTTCACAGATGAGAGCAGGTTGACCCTGTGACAGACGTGGAAGGGTCTGGAGAAGCTGTGGAGAACGTTATGCTGCCTGTAACCTCGTTCAGCACGACCATTTTGGTGGTTGCTTCAGTGATGGTCTGGGGAAGCATATCTATGGAAGGACGGACAGAACTATACAGGATAGACAATGGCACCCTCACTGCCATTAGGTATTGGGATGAAATCCTTGGACCCACTGTCAGACCCTACATTGGTGCAGTGGGTCCTGGGTTCCTCCTGGTGCCCAGCCTCATGTGGCGAGAGTATGCAGGCAGTTCCTGGAGGATGAAGGAATTGATACCATTAAATGGCCCCCACGCTCACCTGACCTAAATCCAATAGAACACCTCTGGGATATCATGTTCCATCCAACGCCCACCACGTTGCACCTCAGACTGTCCAGGAGCTCAGTGATGCCCTGGTCAAGATCTAGGAGGAAATACTCAAGAACACCATCCGTCATCTCATTAGGAGCATGCCCCGACATTGTCAGGCATGCATACAAGCACATGGGGGCCATACAAACTACTGAGTACCATTTTGAGTTGCTGCAATGAAATTTGAACAAAATGGATTAGCCTGCTGCATCATTTTTTCATTTTGATTTTCGGAGTGTCTTTGAATTCAGTCCTCTGTAGGTTGGTAATTTTCATTTTCATCAAACGATGGGGCATCCTTACGTTCCTAACACATTACCCAGTCCATATCAGTATAGATATCCAGCATGATATTTTTCCCTGTTGAGATCTGATGTGTTTTCACAGTGTTCCTTTAATTTTTTTGAGCAGTGTATGTGAGAACCTTAGCAGGGGTTCCTAGCAATTAGCAGGAGGCAGCCCGATTGAATTCAACCCAACTTCCAGGGTATGGGGGACTGGCAAATGAAGGGTGGTGTCAGAAAAAAGAAAACAGATCTTGCCAATATGCAGACAGGATAGGGCGAGCCCAAAACATATGTAGAAGATCTGCGCCCCCACGGCCACAACGAGGACACGCGACCGCAGATCCAAATCCTATACAGGCCAACCTGGAAGGAGTATGAAGAAAATGGTGGATAAACTTAAATTGAATAAATCTGTCAGCAGTACTAATAATATCTGAAAACAAATCTCCATATCCTCCTCTCATCCTTCCTCAGATAGCCCAGGAACCAACACCAACCATTTACAATTAGCAAGCTGAAAGGAGTTGGCTGACTGAAGACAGGTATATATAGTAGTAACCAATTTAGTTATATCAGGGTCCATCAGCAGTACCTCTAGTGGAGATTCTGAGAGCTCCAGGATCAAAGCCCCAAACTGCGCCCATGCAGCTTGGCAAAACAGATTTTTTTTCTATTGTTTGTGGGGATCTATTGTTGCTATGGGGTGTCAATTATTGCTGAGAGGGATTTACCATTGAGGGAAGGGTCTATTGTTGCTGGCTGCTGGAGGTTATATTGATGTTGACTGAAAAGAGATTATTTTTTGCTGACAGGGGTCAATTGTTGCCTGGGGGATTGCTGCTGGGGGGGGGGGCTCTATTGTTGCTAAAGAGAATATATTTTTGCTGGGGGCACTATTGTTGCTGAGGGCTGTATTCTTGTTGGCTGCAGGGGATTTTTTTTCTGATTTTCTTGTTATCATTAACAAATTCAATGCAAGTTATTTAGCACCACAAAATGATCCTTGCTTCTATATTCTCTGAACGGGGTGAAACTAGGAGATGGGAAGAGGGTCCAACCAAGTGCCGATGCTTGGAGGTGGGTAGGGTAAGGGGCAGAGACAAGGGTGACTCAGAAGGGTGGGTACCTGCACCTATTCTCTGAGGCAAAAAAACCTGCCCCCGCTGAACATAGATTCGAGACAGGGATGGAAAGTGTACTGAAAGCTTGCACTGCCCAAAGAGGACTCCATCTTCAGTTGGGTGGCATGACAGGCAGTCCAATAGCGAGCATTATTGGAAATATAGGAGCTAAGCATCACCGCCTTAAAGGCATCCCACTCTGGTCCCATCATGGAAGAGTGACTCTTCATCTCCCAATAATTAGTCATGTCAGTATGGATGGGTACTTGAAATTCAGATGTGGAGGGCTGAATCTCCAGATCCAAAAAGAGGGCCTATGACCTAATAACAAATTTACCTGGAGGACAGAATGGTCCGACAGCGTTTGAGGGGGTATAGGAAAGAAACTGGACCCATCATTCGTAGCTAAACCACAGTCCAACCTGGAAAGAGCACAGTAAGATTTAGATTGACAGGAATATACCCTATCCGTGGGAAACCTCAAATGTAAGAGATCAACATATCTGTAAGTATCGAACCAATGTAAAAAAAAAGTTTTGACTCAGATGGTAGAGGTTTCAAGCAGTATAACGTAGGGTTCATCACCAAACTGAAGTCTCTAAAAATAATGGCAGCAGTAACTGGTAAAGATGAAATATGGACACTCAGTTAACTAGTTGCCGACCGCAGATAGCCGAATGACGGCTGCACTGCGGCTGGACAGTTCTGGGAGGGCGTCATATGACATCCTCCCAGAACGCGCTCTCCTGCGCGACCCTGGGGGTGCGCACCCGGCGATCTCCGTGATCGCTGTGTCCTATGGACACAGCTAATCACTTGCTGTGGTAAAAGGCCAATCACAGCGGCCTTTTACCATGTGATCAGCCGTGTCCAATGACACGCTGATCACTGGGAAATGCAATTGCCGGTTCTCGGCTGCACTTTCCTCACGCTGTCAGAGCGTGAGGAAAGTACTGCCAAGAACTGGCAGTTGTCAGAGCAGGGATTGGCACCAATCATTAGGGCACCAGCAGTGCCACCCACCAGTACTGCCCACAAGTGCCCAGCAATGCCACCCACCTGTGCCCAGCAGTGCCACCCACCTGTGCCCATCAGTGCCCACCAGTGCCACCCATCGGTACCCATCAGTGCAGCCTAGCAGTGCCACCAGTCAGTGCCCAGCTGTTGTGCCAGTCAGTGCCCAGCAGTTGCGCCAGGCAGTGCCCAGCAGTGCCGCCAGTCAGTGCCGACTATCAGTGCCTACTATCAGTACCCATCATCAGTACCAGCTCATTAGTGCCACCTATCCGTGCCACCTCATTAGTGCTGCCTGTCAGTGCCACCTACCAGTGCTGCCTATCAGTGCCCATCAGTGCCGCCTATTAGTGCCCATCAGTGCTGCCTATCAGTGCAGCCTCATCAACACACATCAGTGAAGGAGAAAAATTACCTGCTTGCAAACTTTTATAATAGAAACAAAGAAACTTTTTTTTTTGCTCTTTTTCTGTTTATAGTGCAAAAAGTAAAACACCAAGTGGCAAGTAAATACCACCAAAAGAAAGCTATATTTGTGAGAAAAAAATGATTAAAATTTCATATGGGTACAAAGTTGCATGACCGCACAATTGTCATTGAAATTGTGACAGGGCTGAAAGCTGAAAATTGGCCTGGTAAGAAGGGGGTATAAGTGCCCGGTAGGCAAGTTTAAGTAAAACATGGCTACTTTTGGTCTCCATGGTCCCCACTGTATGTAGGATTGTAGCCACCCTCTCCAGGTCACTCCGGAGATGAACTGTGGACTATGAGATGTTTAGTGTGTTTAACCTCTTGCCGACCGCGCATAGCCGAATGACGGCTTCACCGCGGCCGGCCAGTTCTGAGTGGACGTCATATGACGTCCTCCCAGAACGCGCTCTCCTGCGCGCCCCAGGGGGCGCGCACCCGGCGATCTCCGTGATCGCTGTGTCCTACGGACACAGCTGATCACGTGATGTGGTGAAAGGCCGATCCCACCGGCCTTTTACCACGTGATCAGCGGTGTCCAATGACACGCTGATCACAGGGAAATGCAAGTGCCGGTTCTCGGCTGCACTTTCCTCACGCTGTCAGATCGTGAGGAAAGTACTGCCGAGAACCGGCAGTTGTCAGAGCGGGGATCGGCACCGATCATCAGGGCACTGATGATCAGTGCCCTGATGATCGGTGCCCAGCAGTGACACCCGCAAGTTCCGCCCAGCAGTGCGCCCACTAGCCCCGCCCACCCGTTCCCAGCAGTGCCCCCACCTGTGCCCAGCAGTGCACCCACCTGTGCCACTCTGCAGTGCCACCTACCTGTGCCCAGAAGTGCCACCCACCTGTGCCCACCCACCTGTGCCCACCAGTGCCACCCACCTGTGCCCACCAGTGCCACCCACCTGTGCCCACCCACCAGTGCTGCCCACCAGTGCCACCCACCAGTGCAGCCCAGCAGTGCTGCCAGTCAGTGCCACCCACCAGTGCCCAGGGGTTGTGCCAGTCAGTGCCGCCAGTCAGTGCCCAGAAGTGATGCCAGTCAGTGCCGTCTATCAGTACCCATCATCAGTGTCACCTATCAGTGCCGCCTATCAGTGCTGCATATCAGTGCTGCATATCAGTGCTGCATATCAGTGCCGCCTATCCGTGACCCCTAATTAGTGCTGTCTATCAGTGCCGCCTATCCGTGCCACCTCATTAGTACTGCCTATCAGTGCCCTTTAGTGCTGCCTATCAGTGCCCATCAGTGCCGCCTATCAGTGCCCATCAGTGCCGCCTATCAACGCAAATCCGTGAAGGAGAAAAAATACCTGTTTGAAAAATTTTATAAAAGAAACAAATAAACTTTTTTTTTTTTTTTCAAATTTTTTTGCACTTTTTTTAATTTATAGCGCAAAAAGTAAAGTGCCCAGTGGCGATTAAATACCACCAAAAGAAAGCTCTATTTGTGAGAAAAAAATGATCAAAATTTCATATGGGTACAATGTTGCATGACCGCGCAATTGTCAATCAAAGTGCGGCAGCGCTGAAAGCTGAAAATTGGCCTGGTAAGGAAGGGGGTATAAGTGCCTGGTAGGCAAGTGGTTAAAGTAGTGCACAGGATTGCAACTAACATGCACTACTTGTTCCAAATAAATGGAAGTGAGGGGGTGCTTCAAGAGCTCACCAAGGATGTTACAAGGAAGCACAAAATCATAGTAAGAAATAATTTAGTGAAAAAGAAATTACAGGGACATGAATTAGTGGATGTGTATGGATTATTTTTGGAAAATAAGGAGATCGTTTAGCATCACGTCGTTTAACTTTGGTCCTGTTCATATCACCATCCCGTGTATCTGTGCACCGTCCATCTCTGATGTTAGTGTTACAAAGGAAAGTTGTTTATAAAAAGTGTCAAAACTTGGTGAAGTAACAAGATACAGCACATTGCAGAATTTATTCCGAGTCATCCCGCGGTGCAACTCTGCATTACATTTGTCCGGTACAATTACCAGTCATTTGATCTCACATTGTACTTTATCATTTCGGTTAAACTTGTCTTCTGTCTGTGTCTGCACTTAGCCGTTAAATTCTATCTTGGGGAAGTGTGGCGCACACACACACACATGCACACAGACTATGTGGTTTTCATGGTTTAACGGACACAGCTGTTGACTCTTGACTGTTCTCCTCTCCGAGGTTCAAGAAATCCTTCAAGTTTTGAAAGACTGAGGCAATACCAAGACAAAATAAACCCTCAGCCTGGGTTTCTTTTCCTGTATTTCATATACAGATATGCATTTACAGGGCTTCATCCCAAACACAAACATTTATTATATTACAGTTTACCAATTCTTAGATGTGATGGCTTTATTTGTTTTCTTTCCTTTATTTTCACCTAATGATATGGCTGGTTAGTCTGTTGTTTTTCAACTGAACAAACTGTCCTGTGGATGTAGCAGTTAGAGGTCTGAGAGAAACCATTTACCTCTGACAGGGGAGCTCACAATGACCAGCTTATATTTATTTATGTAAAACCTTTATTTCAAAAGCTAAATGACTGTTTATGTAACTGAGCTGGAGTTTGGCTTCAACTTGTTAGTGTATCCAAATCTGCCAAATCTGCTGTTATTATTATCTAACACCCTCAATATCTGTTGATCCTGCCATGAAGGTATTTGTGCAGGCACTTCTTGTTATAGGGGGATAACTCCTAGATTGTAAGCTCCAAGGATCAGGGCCCTCCTATCCCTCTTGTATTGAACTGTATTGTTCTGTATTGTCTCCCGTTATATTGTAAAGCGCTGAGCAAACTGTTGGCGCAATATAAATCCTGTATAATAATAATAAAACCCTAAAATGCTGAATTCACAGATTAACCACTTGCCCTCCAGAGGATTTTTTTCCCCTGTTCCGTCAAGGCCATTTTTTGCAATACGGCGCTGGCTTATTTTAACTGACCGTTGCATGGTCATGCAACGCTGTACATAAATGAAATGTATGTCCTTTTTAGCCCACACATAGAGCTGTCTTTTGGTGGTATTTGATCACATGTGTGTTTTTTTAGTTTTTCCGCTATAAACAAAAAAAGACCAACAATTTTGGAAAAAAACAATATTTTTTACTTTTTGCTATAAAACATATCCAGTAAAAAAAATTTAAAAATCAAATTTCATCATCAATTTAGGCCAAAATGTATTCTGCTGGAATAATGGATTTTTTTTTTATTTTTTTATACTAGTAATCAGCGATCAGTGACGTATAGTGGGACTGCGGCAGGCATTTTGCAACTGGGAGGGAACTGACTAGCTGCCACTGACATCCCAATGAAACTAATACAGTGATCAGGGCTAATAAAAGGCACTGACACTGTACTAATGGCACTGGGCAGGAAGGGGTTAACATCTGGGGCGAGCAAAGGGTTAACTGTGTGCTGTTTTACTGTGTGTGCTGTGTGTGTTTTACTAGGGAAACATGCTGCTGTGTATTCCTCTGCTGTTCAGAGAAATACACAACAGCATGTTATTGCTGGCAGGAGAGAGACCTGCGTTGTTTACACACAGGTCTCTCCCCTGTCAGTGTTCCTCGGCGATCGCTGGGTGCCGGCGTGGAATCTCCGGCCGGGACCCGGTGATTGACATCTGTATCCGCCAATGGCAGCACGGGTAGAGCGGCACGCGCGCCCCTTACCCAGGGATGCAAATCACACACACACATATATATATATATATATATATATATATATATATATATAGGGGCGGACTGACAACTCATGGGGCCCCCGGGCAATAGGGGATCATGGGGCCCCTGTGTCCTTGCCCAAACTCAAAAAAGCCTATGAAAAAGGTACCAGGGGCATCTCATGGGGTCCCCTACTGACCTCGGGCAGTGTCCGAGTCTCCAAATGGTCAGTCCGCCCCTGTGTGTGTGTGTGTGTGTATGTGTATATATATATATATATATATATATATATATATATATATATATATGTGTGTGTGATTTTGCGCAGCCCCGCAGCCCTACAGCCCTGTTGCAGTACTTCTGCTGTAGGGCAGAGGGGAAGCAGTTAAATTTATACAAGTGAGCTGTTCTACCTGCCAAAGTCTGTGCATTTCTGTCCATCCAGACCTGATCTTTATCTGCCGCAGTTACACTTTAATTTAATGGTCTCTTAACCACCTGCAAAAAGTAGCAAAATGATATAGCATTTACAATTGTTAGCCACGTTGTAGGTCATGTTATTAAAATGCCCTTTCCTGTTTATTTGCTGCTGCTGTAATTTTCTGAAAAATGCAATACAATATGGAAACCTGGAGGAGCTCTGTGCAATATAGGTGTACAGAATCCCCCTAGAAATGTCACTTCCTGCTTGTGTGATTGGCTCGCTGATTTTCCCAGAGGTTTGCACTAAGAGACAATTCAGATTTTAGGCATCCCCTGCAATAGGAATTTCAGTTTTGGTGAGATACTCCCCAAGGGAATGCAGACACTGCAACTTTTATTATCAGAACACTGATGCACCAGGTGATTATAATAAACCAGACCCTCTCATTCAGAATCAGTCTGCACAGGAAACAAACAGCTACAGTATGTCTCTTATGTTTGTTGAAATCCCTGCAATGAACATTGATTACCCAGAAGGGATTTTTTCTTTTTCAACAAAAGTGGAGTTACTCTTTAAGCAGGATAGAT